ATACGTATTAGATTAACCAGTTTTGCAATAATTTTTTAATCATTGCACTTACTTTTCTGTTGTCCGCATTAATGATACGTATAAATTATACTATAGATGATTTTCCTAATTTTCCAACCTTTGCAAGAGAAGACCAAATTCGGTTTTTATTAACCGCGTTAAAGAATCATATTTAGATAGGGAGGATATACTTGATCTCTTAGAAAAGCATATCAAGTATAATTTAATAAAGTTATGATTCCGAAACTGCTATATTATAGGAGTGCTGTCAAGGGAAAATGCACATTCGACTTTGGATTATATTTTGTGCCAGACATGATTTATCTAATTTATTAGGGGTTGTTCCCAATACAAATATAATTGAAAATCCGTAATGCTTTATCCACTGGCAGCATTCGTTTTTTGTAATTTGCAATCCTTATAAAATGCAATATGATATGTTTTTTAATAGATTGGAGACAAGTATTATAGGTAGTGTACTGGTATTTCACAGAGGTCAGTTGTATCGATACTTCTTTGTAGGTTCGTATTGATACAATTGATAATTGGATATTTATATATTGATGACTTATAATTGTTTAATACATAGCTTTTATTATAGTGACATGGAATGAGAAGTGCTTCCTTTTGTGAAGCGTGATGATGGCGTAGGTGAATATATCGATTTCGAAGGGTTAGTGTTCTTGGCTAAAAATTGAATTTATAGCTCATGCTACGGTTTTTTGACGATTTTCTATACATAAGTACAGACAAAGAAAAGGTTGAAAGATTTGTAACCGCAATGCATAAAGGTAATAATTGTGATTTGTATATGTATTTTGAATAAGGTGAGATTTTATTGAATACGTATGTATTTTATTTTAGGTAATCCAAAATATAAGCTTGTTGTTAACAGATAAACGAGCCTAACAAACTTCGATATCATTGTTGATGGGAAGCTGATAGAAATTGAGTAATACGTACGCGTGGTAAATCAAATATTTGTCTGATCAAGTAGTTTTAACAGATTTTTAACTTAATTGAAAATGTTCTTTAGATTTTTCATGGTGTTGAATCTTAATTCATACGACTACATTGAATTGTAAAGTTGATTATATGTGATATTGATACGTATACATAGGTTTTCCTATTTCGTTATTCGGTATAACTTATATATCCCACTACTTATGTATTTCGATAAAACTATGTAGATATTGCAGATAATCATTTGATTTATTATTTTTAAATGCATATATATCTAAATTATATTCTCAATTCAGCATCATTACTAAGAACTGTCATCCAATATATAATGACTTATCGTTCAACATTAGAGCGATCATATTGCTTAACATTTACCAAAATTTTTGTTGACGAATATGAAATTTCATCGCCATATGTATCAAAGGTTTACCATTGCAAAGTAACTTAAGAAATAAAGATTTTCAAATACATAGTTGTTAATTCCTGTTTGATTGTATTTGAAAATTTGATTTTAAGACTGAAGTGTAAAGCTCAAATCATTTATCATTAATATTATTTTTGTAGATGTAGTCCATAACATAATTCGGAGTGCATACGTATCAAGTGTTGATTAATAAGTCCCAATCTCAAATGGTTGCTGAACCTTGGTTTTGCATATTCTGGCATATATATATATAATTTTAATTTGTACTTTCATTCATTTTTTTTTTTTTTGCTCAAGATATGTGTGTTATTATATTATTTATGTATAGGCTAGGCATGTACGCATTTTATCATATACCTTTTCGGGAGCAGTTATATCATAAATTACTTTTGGAGTATTTGAAGTTCAAAATTTTCGATTCACCAATAAATATAGTCAAGCAGTTGAGAACAATTGTTGATTGGAACTACGTATTCGAAAGTATTTAACAATACGTATAAAATATTAAAGACTATTTGAAGGATTACAGTGTTCGATTTCTAATTGCATAAAATGAAATAAAAGCATGCACGGTTCAGATAATTCGAATAAACTTAAAAAATAGTCAAAGAATTTTTAATAATCTCGTCAAAACAACTAATTCTATGATTCTATGTATACTACGTAGCAAAACAATCAACTCTTAAATCGTATTGGTAGTTAAAGTACAGTGAAATGTAGAGTCCATATCATTTATCATCAAACACAATTCAAAGTATTATTTTACGTACGTAGCAGTTGTAATGTACGTAGTAATACGCACAATAAATAATATACAAGAGCTCGTAATTGATAACCAATCAGAGATGCGGAAGCGAACAAACAGAATGCACATGACAGTGTAAATCAAAAATGGACGTAAAAACAGAATGTCCTCCGCTACGCTCCGGACAATCAGTTACGTATAAATATGCATATAAGAAGATTTGACCAGATTATACGTACGTATACGTACATACATATTATTTAACTTTTTCGATACATATATATATCTCAACAAAACTTGTAATTTAAAATAAAAATAAAATAAAAAATGCCAAAACAAAATAAATGCACAAGACAGTCCCGAAAAGCTGTTACCACGTATTGGAAAAATAAATCTTCCTCACAACATGTTAAATCGACCAATGCTGCTTTCAACGAACCTATAGTACTTGATACTATCAACCAAAATCGACCTACAGTTGATAGTTCATCTAATAAGACCCTTGCTAGTAATGCTAGTAATGATAATTCTATATTATCATCACTAGATGCACAATTGGAAACAGAAACTGTCGATCTATGTCTTAATACAATAAGACAATTTCTCCATCTTGTCCAGGAAGGGTATACAAAGATGGAGGCAAGTAGCCTTCTGGCTAAGAGTTTAGGTAAAGGCCCATGGCATGCGCGGTGTATTCGTGCCTGGGCAAATCAATGGAAGAATTGCAAAGAATTAATGAAGTCAAAACGTGGTTGACATATAAAAACGAAATCTTTAATACATAATAAGAGTTTTCGGCTTCAAATACATCAGTATTTGGAAAAAAATAAATTTAAATTAGTCATTCCAAAATTTATAAGCTACGTCAGTAGTATTATGCCTACTTTTGGAGTCACAAATATAACCATTAGTAGGTCAACTGCGTGCAGATGGCTAAAATTGCTTGGATGGAAATACCAAACCTATTCAAAAAATATTTATTTTGACGGTCACGAACGTGAAGATGTGGTAGAATACCGAAGCTATTTTTTGCAAGAGATGGCTAAGTTACGAACCCGAATGACCATATATGAAGGTGAAAACTTAGACCATATTATCTTGCCAAACCTTTTTCCTGGTGAGTCTGAAATCGTTCCTGTTACCCATGATGAGACCATCCTTTATGCAAATGATGGTATGAATAAGTATTGGAGCCCAATAGATGAATATAGCCTACGAAAAAAATCACAAGTAAGGATTATAATTAGTTACGCAGCATTTTTTAGTCGACTACGTAGTCAGTTGACTAAAATTTTTAATTATTAACTAACTAACTAATTTTTTATTCTTGCGTATTCTTAATCATAGGGTCTCAGTATTCACGTTAGTGATTTTTACTGTGAATCTATCGGGCGTCTCAAACTTTCAGAATACGAAAGTTCTATAAATGAGTTGCTTTCTGATTACATGCGTCTTAAATATACCCAAGCATGTGTTACTATCCATCCAGGTATAAATCGTGATGGGTGGTGGAAAAGTGACCATTTAGTTGATCAGGTAGTTAAACATGCCATACCAATATTTGAACGAACACACCCTGACAAGATAGCTCTATTCATGTTTGATAATAGTAGCAATCATGGTTCATTTGCTAAAGATGCCCTTTTGGTCTCACAAATGGGCATGGGTGACGGTACAAAAAAACCACTTCTTCATAATGGTGTGAAATCTGATAGTACCGAGCATATAATGACCTATGTAGATACGAATGGTGAAGTAAGACCTAAGGGGATTAAACGGGTTCTTGAAGAACGAAATTTATGGATACCAGGCCTTATAAAAAAGTGTAATACATGTAAAAAAAACAAGCCTGATCCAAACAACTCCAACTGTTGCGCTTCATGAATTCTTTCAGCTCAACCCGATTTTGCAGCACAAAAATCACGCATACGAGAAGTAATAAGTTTTTTTTTTTTTTTAAAAAAAAAAAAAATTATTTAATAACAATTTACTTATATATGTATAAATAATTTAGGTAATTGAAGCAGCTGGCCATATGTGCATCTTTTACCCTAAGTTTCATTGTGAACTTAATTACATTGAGTCTGTTTGGGCTGAGGTAAAATGTTATGCAAGACTTAATTGTAATTATACTTTCAAGGGCCTCAAAAAAACTGTTCCAAGAGCATTAGATTCTGTTGATTTAATAAAGGTTCGCCGTTTTGCTCGCCATTCTGCACACTTTATGAGTGCCTATGAACTTGGACTTACTGGAAAAGCTGCCGTCTTTGCAGTAAGAAAATATCATTCTCATCGTCGAGTTCCGGAAAAGGTTCTTGAAGAATTCACTCGTGACTAAGATATTTTGTTTTTTCTTCTTTTTCACTCTGAAAATATGCATTTAAACATCAATATGTATACGTAACATATTATATGTATGTACGATTTAAAAAATAAAATAAAATCTCACAGAAGGTCGTGAAATCTAAAAATCTTTCATCCTAATTTCACTACGTAGCTTTTTTTTTTGAGTGAACTTTTAAGTTTCGAAAAATCACGAGAATATGTACGAATTGTACATACATACTTAGAAAATTTTTTTATTAAAATTGGCTAAGCCACAATGTCGATCATATAAATTTAGGTTTAACCGTCATGCTACGTATGTTTTAAATTTGCTGTGTACGTGAGTGAAAATAGTTCGTTAAAAAACTAATCTAAAGTTTTACCAGCAGGTGGTTAATAAGATTATGTATTATAGAACTTGTTAATGAAAAAACGGCCTCGAGCTGAAAAAAGCAATCCAACATTTTATCACTTGGCTTTAATAATGTTAGTATAAAATTTTTAAACATGTAAATTGTGTATAGAAGACATTTAAATATCAATTTGTAATAATCCTTGATTGTAAACTGTGATTAGGTACCAAATCAATACAATGTTATGGTAGAATACGAAAATTCAAGCACAGATTATATTAGATGCTTATCAGTATTGAAAAAGCTTTACTCTAGGTAAATAGTCTTATCTGATTACAATAAAATAAACCCATTAAGTTTATAAGGTTGAATAGTATAGTATTTTGTAGGTTTGTGAGAGAGCAATGACTTATTTATTGAAGAATGCATCAATATTTAATTATCTTTCAAATAATTCTTATCTTCAAGCAACCGGTAAGAAGTACAACTTTCTTTATTATCAATTAGGTATTGCAATTAGTGAATTATCTAAGCCGAATATTGATCTTCAAAAGTCCCAATGTTATCAAAAAATTTCTAAAAAATGCCATCTCATGAAGTCTTTGAAGAAGTGTCATCTCAAGAAACCTTTAAAGAGAACGAACTTTTAAAAGGGTGCTACGTATCTCAGAAAACTTTTGAAGAAACGATACCTCAAGATACGCATAGGGAATTACAGCATGAATCTGAAATTTTCATCTCAGATTTGGAAATCTTGAATGATGAGGCATCATTTCAAGTAACCTTTAAAGGAAAAGGCATTTTTAAAGGATTTTCATCTCAGGAAACTTTTATAGAGAGCATGTCACAAAATATGTATATGAATTTGGAAAATTTGAACAATGTGATGTCATCTCAGGAAACCTTTAAGGGGGAACTGATTTTTGAAAGGGTATCATCTCAGGAAACTTCTACAGAAATGATACCACAAGATTTGTATATGGACGACATGAGTCTAAAATTTTCATCCCGGATCCGGAAAATTTGAATGATGAGAAATATTCACCAAAAGTAACAGTAAGTCTTATATATAATAGGTATTGTGATGATTATAGAAATGATTTAGAAGTAATGTTCTCTGGTTATATTTTATTTATTGGATCAATAAAATATTCATTGGTTAGCCAAAAAGCAGACTCTAGATAATTCCTATTCACAAGATAAAGAAATTTCTAATTCACCAAATACAATAACGGTGATAGTGCTAGAACTTTCCGGGAATCAAATACTGATTTGTCAGAAAATTTATCTCTTAGCAATGTCAAAATATACAATAAAATATCCGATGACCAAAAAATAAATTCGAAAATTAGTGTAAGGACATCTGCGAATCTTATATTTAACAGATACAAAATATTATGATGAATATTCTTATGATTTGATATTTATATTTTCTAATACGTAGTCTTTATATTTTAATAAATGTAGGTTATCACATTTGTTCGTGCAGTGCTGAAACGAATAATTCCAGAGGATTTTGGGGGTTGTAATGATAATCAACAAGTAATATTTAAAGATAATATGAATATTTAAGAATAATTGAAATATTTATCATTATTATTATCATTATTATTATTATTTTAATATTACCTGTAGAAAAGTTCATCATCGCGCTTAGGTATTATGAAGAACTCTCGCTATACTATTTTTTGGATAAATTCAAAGTATATAGAGTTTATCTGTTACGTATTTTATTATCCACATATTATACTATATAGTTCTAAATATTATTTATTTTATATTGAATTTAAGATCAAGCAGTGCAAGTGGCTTTTTGTGGGGGGGGGGGTAATAAAAATAACAAAGTTGAAGCTGATAAGAGGTCCGAACTATTATTTGGTGGATATTTGATTGCTTTGTTATTCCACTGCTTCAAGTAAGAGAATTCAAATTTTTAGTGCTTCTCAGATTCAAATTTCTTGTCACTAAATTTATTTTATAGTATTCATACTTCTCAGACTAATTTCTATATAACATACGAGACAAGATAAAATCCAAATGGGAGTAATTCATAAAAGTCATTATAGTAAATAACATTTATAATATGATACTGTATGCACGTTGTATGGTACGTAGTTACATTAATTTTGACATAATTTATGTTATACATATTATTTATACCTGGAAATAAATATCTTGTTGGCATAGGTGCACGTTAAATAAAATCCAAACAATCTGTAAATGCAATTCTACAAAATACATTTCAGGTCCTAGCATTTGAAAACACGGTATTGAATAATTGATTGTGAGGGGTATTAATTTTACGTGATTAGCCAATAGACTTATGTACGTATACGTACCAGATGTTTATTTATTTATTCATGTGATTTTTTGCAAAAAATCGCATTACAATTGTTTTTTTTTTGGTTGAATATTATAAATACGTACGTAATTGATTTCAAATTTATGTACAAATTTTAGAAAAGTCTGGTTCATTATTACAACAACTAAACATCAGAGTTCCATGTCACAGCAAGATCTAGAAGATACTGCAGTACTTTCGGATAGGAAATCTCTTTCTAAAGTTTTTTCTACATTACATCTTTCTCCTCCTCCTCTACTTTTTGGAGTGTCGTGAATTTTTTTCTCCTTGTGGAGCCCTCTCTTCGTGGAGCCCTCTCCTTGTAGAGTATCCAACCTTTTATAAAATTTAATAAGCTTCTCCTTTTTGGAGTGTCTTGTGAATTTTTTCCTCCTTGCGGAGCCTTCTCTTCGTGGAGCCCTCTTCTCGTAGAGTATCAAACCTCTTATAAAATTTAATAAGCTTCTCCTTTTTGGAATGTCTTGTGAATTTTATTCCTCCTTGCGGAGCCCTCTCCATGTGGAGCCCTCTCCACGTGGAGTATCCTATACTTTTGTAAAATTTAATAAGAAACAACTTTAGAAGAGGAGTTGGTGTTTTTTTTTACACAAAAGTATTAGTAATAACTTTTTTTGGTTTTATATAAATAGGAGATCGTGGCCCATGTTGTTACATTGCTGAGCAGACAGTTCTTATTTCCAGAAATATCGAAAATATAAGCGCCAAAAAAATTCATGAGTGGCTTTCTGGTGCTTCCTCATTCCCGTTCTCGCATATCAAAAAAAAACTGAAGGAAAGGTAAATATGTATATATTTATTATTATTATATATAAATTTTCTAAAGTCTTAAATAGCTAATTTATTTTTTATTTAGATATGGCCATGTGCATTTTGGAAGTCGTGAAGAGGCTGGGGATTTCTTTTGGTCCATGGCAAACAAGGAAATACCAGATGGACCTCTTGGTAAAACTGTTGAATTCACTAAAGCAAAGTATTATAAAAATTCTTCGCAAGGAGAGGGCTTCATCACTGTAAATATTAAGTTTATTTACATTTTAAATATACAGAAATAAATATGTTCTCATGCGTATTTACAAATTAAATAGTATATTCATAGAGAGAACAGTGATAATCTTTTAATTGAATTAGTAATGCAATTAAAAAATCGTGTCGAAAAGTTAGAAGGGGAAATTAGAGAAATTAAAAAAAGAAAAACCCAATCAGTTTTTTCTGTTTGTAAATTAAAAAAAACCGACTGTAATTAATTTTTTAGCTTAATTAGCTGATCGATTTCTTATATGGAATATTACAGAAAGTTTTTTTTTTATATGATATATAGATGCAAGAAACCGTATTTAGATAGGAAGGTTATACTTGATCTCTTAGAAAAGCATATCAAATAAAAGTATGAATCCGAAACTGTTATATTATAGGAGTGCTATCAAGGGAAAATGCACATTCGACTTTGGATTATATTTTGTGCCAGACATGATTTATCTAATTTATTAGGGGTTGTTCTCAATACAAATATAATTGAAAATTGTAATGTTTTATCCACTGGCAGCATTCGTTTCCTTTAATTTGCAATCCGTATAAAATGCAATATATGTTTTTTAATAGATTGGAGACAAGTATTATAGATAATGTACTTGTATTTCACAGGGGTCAGTTGCATCGATACTGCTTTGTAGGTTCGTATTGACACAATTGATAATTGGATATTTATATATTTGATGACTTATAATCGTTTAATACATAGCTTTTATTATAGTGACATGGAATGAGAAGTGCTTCCTTTTGCGAAGCGTGATAATAGTGTAAGTGAATATAATGATTTCAAAGGGTTAGTGTTCTTGGCTAAAAATTGAATTTATAGTTCATGCTACGGTCCTTGACGATTTTCTATACATAAGTACAGACAAAGAAAAGCTTGAAAGATTTGTAACCGCAATGCATAAAGGTAATAATTGTGATATGTATATGTAATTTGAATAAGGTGAGATTTATCGAATAAGTATGTATTTTATTTTAGGTCATCCAAAATATATGTGTTGTTAACAGAGAAAGAGCCTAACAAACTTCGATATTATTGTTGACAGGAAGTCGACAGAGAAATTGAGTAATACGCATGGTAAATCAAATATTTGTCTGATTAAGTAATTTTAACAGATTTTTAACTTAATTGAAAATGTTCTTTAGATTTCCATGGTGTGGAATCTTAATTCATATGACTACATTGAATTGTAAAGTTGATTATATGTGATATTAATATGTACAGCTTTTTACGTAGGTTTTCCTATTTCGTTATTTGGTATAACTTATATAACCCACTACTTATGTATTTTGATAAAACTATGTAGATATTGCAGATACTTTAACAGTCAAGACATTGGTGAAGCTTTAAAACAAAAGATGATTGAGTAAATACTATATCATTTGATTTATTATTTTTAATAAACACATATATATCTAAATTATATGTATTTTTTCATTACCAAGAACTGTCATCCAATATATAGTGACTTATCGTTCAACACCATAATGACCATATTGCTTAACATTTACCAAATTTTTGTTGACGGATATGAAATTTCATCACTGTACGTCTCTTGAAATAAGCAATCAGAAGCATATATATTCGAACTCAAAAGTCATGATCAAATATATTTTATCAGCATTCATAATATGTAGTTTGAACTACGTATACTACACTTCGACAAAAAATTTTATTTATATATATATTATATGTATAACGCAAACTGACGATTAATTTCTACATCTTAAAATTATGGTCGATGAATTTAGTTCTACGTAAGAGGTATGAAGGTTATGTAAAATGTGCAAAATACAAGCAATATAACACATCTCATGGTTGGTGTCAAACATGCGACCCTCAGAAGACAACACAAGGATGAACAAGTGGGAATAAGCATTTATATATTATTTAAAAATTTTTTATTGTAAATTTTTTTTGTCAGGTACTGGGTTACTATTTTGAGACAAATATTTTTAAATAATACGTACGTATAATTTTTTACTACTTTATATGGCCTTAAAATAAATTTACAATTTTTTTTCATGAGCTATATCTTAGTTCTAATTTTGTACGTAACATATAATTGTTTTATGGTTTAACTAACTTGACCCAATGCTTTTTTATATAAAAATACAATCTAAAATTCATTCATAGTAAAGCCTAGTTTAACCTGTTCAAATTTAATAAATTGGATTCTTTAACGCGGTCAATATAACCAAATTTGATATCTTTTGTGCCAATTCTCTTGCAAAGGTTAGAAAATTAAGAAAATCGTATATACGTATAATTTATATGTATCATTAATGTGGACAACAGAAAAGTAAGTGCAATGATTAAAAAATTATTGCAAAACTGGTTAATCTAATACGTATTACCTGTTGAGT